ATGTTTTGAGAATGATGTACAAATGTGCTTTACACAATTGATGTGTGTATGGATTGTGATAAGAGTTGTATGAGCCCCTAATAAAATGGCTAAAAAATATATTGGACTTACAGACTTGGAAAAAAAAGAAGAAAGAAAGAAAAGTGGCCCGAGTGGCATCCAGCTCAGGCCAACCCTGCATGTCCCGAAGTGGCTCCATGCTCCATGGAGGTTTTCGTGGCAGGTCTTGCAGAAGGAGACCACGAGGCCTCTCTTCTGAGCCTCCTTTGCATGGACGCAATCTGCCAGCCGTTTCACTAGCAGCTAAATGAGTGCAGGAACTGTTTACACTGCCCTGGCACTCCACAGACATAGTAGAATATGAAAAATACACAAAAACTGTGCATTTCTAATTTTTAAAAAGTAGGTGCTAGCTCGTTATGAAGACTGATGAAGAATCGATACATTTGAATTGTGGTGTTGATGAAGGATATTGAAAGTACTGTAGACTTTTAACCGGAACTTCATAAAGAGTTCATGAAAAGACAGAAATGAATAGTGTAGTGAAAATAATAAAGGAGAGGGGAAAAAACCACAGAAGCTTAAATCTCAGGTATCTGTGCATGGGAATCTGGAAAGATAAACTATGATGTCAAGAAACCAAATTTCTATTCTCGGCTAAAATAGTAAAGACTCCTGACTTGGGCAATAAAAGTAATTGGGTAGCTACCTCTTGGTGTAAAATGTGCTTACAAAGAAAGCAGTACTGGCAAAATACTTTGAAAACGATGATGGCAACTTATGTACAAATGTACTTGAGACAATGGATGGATGGATGGACTGCGATAAGAGTTGTATGAGTCCCCAATCAAATGATTTTTAAAAAGAAAGTACTGTAGACTGCCGGAAGAACAAACATCTGTCTTTGGAAGAAGTACAGCCAGAATGCTCCGTAGCGGTGAAGACGGCCAGAGTTTGGCTCGTGGGCTTTGAACCTATCAGGCCAGTCCCTGGAGAAGGCCATCCTGCTTGGTCAGATGGAGGGGCAGAGGAAAGGAAGGCCCTGGGCCAGATGGCTGCAGCAATGGGCGCAAACAGCAACGGTGAGGACGGCACAGCACCGGGCCATGTTCTGTTCTGTGGCCGCTGTGAATCGGAAGGGACCTGCTGGACCTAACAACAAAACTGCTCTCTGCATGGCGTATTTTAAAGCACATGTACATGTGCACCGTACATGGTACATACATGTACACCGCCAACTTGCTTGGAGATAATCGCTTGACTTGGGGAGATCCACGATAATCATTTTACTCGATCACCATTGAGTCGATCCTGACTCATAGTGACCCGATAGAGCAGCGGTTCAACCTTTGGGGGTCGAAAGACCCTTTCACCGGTCACCCGCTTCATCATAGTAGCAAAAGGACAGTGATGAAGTAGCAACGGGAATAATGTTATGGTTGGGGGGTCACCACCACATGAGGAACTGTATGAAAGGGTCGCGGCATTGGGAAGATTGAGAACCACTGCTCTAGAGGGTGTCTGAGGCTATAAATTTTGGGGGGAGCAGACAGCCTCATCTTTCTCCTGAGGAGCGGCTGGCGGCTTTTGACCTCTGGCCTAGTTAGCAGTCCAATGCTTACTTGACAGTGTGCCCAGGACTCCTGGCTTTAATAAAGTCAGCTAAATGATGTGTTAATGAACATAGTTGATTTATTTTCCATGGGCTGTTCCAGTTCAACTATGCTGTGTTCGTTATTGAGGGGGAAGTTTCATGTGTTAAACATCATATTCGCTGCAGCATCACCAGGTGTCAGGTAGATAGTTTTGAAAACCAAAGCCTTGTAGATAGATGTCTAGGTTTTTGAATGCCAGTGCTCAAGGGGATATTCAAAAATCGGCGATCGAGAGAAATGATTGCATGTTTGTGTCATGCATCTGCCACGTAAGATTCCTCATTACGTCGACACCGGCTCTCAGTGGTGACCTCTTTTGTCTGCTCTTGCCTTGGCAGAACCTGGGAGAGCTGTTCTCCGTCAGGGTTGTGGGGTTCCCCCCGAACTGCAGCTACTTGTCCCCACAGGCCGGCCGGCCCCTGTGTCAGTGGACAGTTGACAGGTAAGAGGGGTTGTCCCGGTTCTAGTGAGAGGACG